TCGCGAGAAGCGAGATCGTTTCGAGTGGCAAGCTCGCGGAATATAGAAAACAGAGATTCCTGGGGAACGATTCGTCCGAGGTGGCAAGGGAGAAGAAATCATCGCGAGGGGTCTTGTAAACGGAAGCGGAAGGAGGGGCGAGACAGAGATAGATAGATAGAGAGAGAGACAGAGAGACGGCTGAATCAGCTGGGACACGCTCGAGGGGAAAGCAGTAAAGCGGATGGTCCGGGTCGGTCCCAGGACTTCGATTCTGGAGAAATGAAATAACGAGAAGTCGATCGATATTTCACGATCGATCGATGCTCGTGAAACGAAGCGTGTCCCGTCGGGGAGGAAGATATGTGGTGAGTTGGAAAAAGAAGAAGAAGAAGAAGAAGAAGAAGAAGTAAAAGAAGAATAGGGGGGGGGGGGGGTCTCTAGATCTAGGAGAGAAACGAAAACATTCCGATGCTGCGTGGTGAGAAGAGTAAATTGAGAAAACTAGCGTGTTCAACTCTCTATATCAAGCACTAAGTAAGTCAAAACTGTTCGAAAAGTAAGAAAGTTCAAACTGAAAAAGCGATCAAACTGGGTGTGGTAAAGAAGTGGAGGGAGAGAGAGAGAGAGAGAGAGAGGTTTCGGGAGAGAAAAGAAGGACGTGCTTTCCGGAATGAGAGAGTAAGAGAGAGAAAGGGAGAATAGAGAGTAAGTAATCGAGAGTAAGTAAGTTATTAATTAAAGTAGTTAAGAAAAAAGTATTCGGAGGAAGAGTAAGTAAGTTAAGTGTGTGTTCGTTTGTTTGGCGGGCATTAACTAGAGTCTTAAGTGAAAGTGAGTACATCATACGTCATGTCACCATAGCCCACGGTCGTCATCGTGACAACGGCCCACCAGAACGCGTCCGGAATGGACTTGAAGAACGAATTCTCGGAGCCGGCCTCCGCGAAGTATACCGCCGATGAGAATAGCACCACACCTGCAATGCAAGGAAGAAAACACCGGTTCAGTGGGTTTAACGCCCCCGGTGGCTCTGTACCTCATGTCCCCGTAGCCCACGGTCGTCATCGTGACCACCGCCCACCAGAACGCGTCCGGTATCGATTTGAAGAAGCTGTCCTGCGTGCCCGCCTCCGCGAAGTATACCGCCGACGAGAACAGCACCACACCTGGAACGCACACAAGAGGAACAGAGGCTTCAAGAAACGCTACTTTGCCCCCAGCTTCTCCTCTGCTGTCTCTTTAGCAGGTCCGCTTAGGCCAGCAGTCCTCATCGTTAGCCACCATCTCTGCACACATCCTGCAGCACCGCAGATCGACCGACCGACCGGATCGATCGATCTCCGTTCGCGCCACGTTTCCACACCCTCCCATCTTTCTCTCCGCTCGATCGAGCAAAATCCACGCCTTTACGGCCTTCCTTCCATTACGTTGATTGGATTTCGACTGTTCCTCCGGCCTCCGGGATGATCGCCCCTCCGTTTTCGTTACCTACATCTTTACGCACCGCTCGCTCCATCTCCAATGCAACAACACTTTCAAAAAACCAGTTCCATGTCGCCCCTTGCCATCGAACATCGTTCTCAGATATTTGGATACCAATGGAATATTTCACCTTGACAATTTCGTCAATTTCGAAGCTTGAGAGAAAAGCGAAGAAAATTCGAAGAAAATTCCCCAGCGGAAGTATCCAAAGATCTTAAGACCGTTGAACGATGCATTTGCGCGATCCTCGAAGAACATCTACGCCGTACTTGGAGAAAGATCGACAATCGTGGGGCTGGAATCTGTTCCGAGACCCGGGATTGTAAGTCACCATCCGAGATATTCCCGGTGAAAATGTCTCCCCGCGGAAGCTGGCGGGTGTCGGGGGAACGTTTCCGGTTCCCGAACAATGCCAACCAATGATTCCGGCGGCGTCCCAAATGCCCGCCACTTTATTTCCGCGAACGTCGAACATTCCAGCCGATTTAAATTGCAAATTTTCCAGTACGCGATCCACGTCGCGTGTCTATCGTGCAAGAAAACTTTCGGCTAAGGGTCGATCTCTGAACGTTCAAACAACCGTACAAATTGTAAGAACGTTTCGCGTGTTTACCTCCCGCGGGACGAACGTTAAACACGTCGGCAATCGCTCAGCTGGGAATGTGTCGAAAGTAGCGAGAAAGTACAGGTGAAAGAGTAAGAAGAAGAATAAGATAGAGTAGTACAGTAAATAGCAGATGTAAAGTAGGTAAAAGAGGGAGAGGACTCACCGATGAAGAGGAAAAAGATGAGCAAGCCGAGCTCCCTCATGGAGGCCTTGAGCGTACGGCCGAGGATCTGAAGGCCTTTACTGTGCCTGGACAGCTTGAATATCCGAAACACCCTGACCAGCCTGATGACCCTGAGTATCGCCAGGGACATCGCCTGGTTCGTACTCTTGTCCTGCGGGCTTACCGGCGCTTTTGGTAGATCAAGCGGGTCCTCCTCCTCGGCCATCACGGTGCCGAGCGTGATGAAGTAAGGAATGATCGCGATGATGTCGATGAAGTTCATTACGTCACGGAAGAAGTTCAGTTTATTTGGACAGGCGAGGAAGCGCACCGATAACTCGAACGTAAACCAGATGATACAAATAGTCTCTATTAGGAAGAACGGGTCGGTAATGTCCGGCACTTCGTCCTCCTCGATCTTCGTGCCGTTCGTCGTCGTGTTGAAGACCTTGTAGTGTTTGAACTCCGGCAGGGTCTCCAGGCAGAATATCACGATCGACAGGAGGATCACGATCACGGATATTATGGCGACGACACGGGCGCCCTGCGAGCTCTCCGGGTACTCGAACAACAGCCAGACCTTCCTTTGGAACTCGTGCTTCGGCAGCGGCTTCTCCTCCTCCTTGATGAACCCTTCGTCCTCCCTGACAATTTCATTCGCGTCCATCTCTCGCAACCTTCTCTCACGCGCTTAACTGACTATGCTAATCGGTAAACGGCGTGTTTCTTCCACGTGTGAAACGCTTGGCTCGCAGAGGAGAAAGAAGAAACAGGGTTCCAATCTCTCCGAACAGAAAGACGTGAAACGAGATCGAACGTGCCGATTGTTCAGGGGAACAATCGACCCTTTCATCTCGGATGAAGCGTTCTCTCGCAAACTGCTTCCCTTTTCTTCCAACTCCGAGAAACACGCTGTTGATCGCCGTTCCTTTCCGAGGAGGTGCAATGCGTACCTGAATTTGTTGGTGGCCAGCTCGCCCAGCTCGTAGAACTTGATCTCCTCGGAGAAGACATCGAGAGGAACGTTGACCGGGCGGCGAAGCCTGCCACCGCTCTGGTAGTAGTAGAGTATCGCGTCGAAGGAGGGCCGATTCCGGTCGAAGAAGTACTCGTTGCGTAGCGGATCGAAGTATCGGAGCCGCCGTGACGGATCGCCAAGGAGCGTGTCCGGAAATTGGTTCAGCGTACGCAGCTGCGTCTCAAACCGTAACCCGCTCACCTGTCGGGAGAGAGATCGCGAGCATCGATTATTCTGCCATCCCCTACGTGTAATCCCCGTTCGTCATTTGCGCATCCCTAATTGGGACGACGCGACGCGAGACGCCTTACCGAGTTTCAACCGCTAATCCTCCACGTGAAACGGGATCGATTCGTCGCGGAGCGGTCTCGGTGAAATTTCCATTCAGAATTCTCACGTTACGAGTTATCTCTATTTTTAACGCGGAAAACGATCGGTTTAGCGGCTAGGATCTATGTTTGAAGAGCGCCAGAAGTGGGAGCAGATGCGACTCGGTCGGTGAACCTTAGTTTCAGATGATTCACTTCGACACGAGTGCTCGTCTAAAATTGTAAAACTAGCAATTGCTGTATCTCTTTCTTTTCTTTAATGTCGGACTATTAGCGGGTGCGCTGCTACGTAATGTCGATTACGAGGAATAAACGGGAGCGCGGTCGCGACTGATTTGTTTTCGCTCGAAAGGAACGACTTTCTTTCGATCCTCCGCGCTCCAGCGGAAAACTAATAAACGAAACTAGGGTAATTGCGTCCCGCCATTAGGACGATTAAGAAGAAAAAGAAGTATCCGCTTTATCGACGATGCTACTAGAAATACCGTTCAAAAATTGCATTTACAATAACTTGCTCGTTATTCAAACCTATCGACCAGTTCCTTCCTAATCCTTCCCAATCGTTCACGCTGCTAAATTGGCAGAATTTGCTGGAGTATAGACGGTTTCATAGCTAGAGCGTACGTGAAGTAGAAGAATTGAGGCCTTCTGGACGTTATAGCTAGGCGATTCGGCGGAAACGACGCGACAACGAGCGTCCCGTCGAAAACAGAAATTGGATTGCACCCGCGACGGCGCGGCGCGGACGCGCCGGTCGATATTTAGTCTGGTTATCGAACGTTCGCG